ATGGTCCCGTTGCAAGACACGTATATGCAGAGCCGCGCAGAAGCTCTACACAACGTTGAATCAACAATCCATGAGCTAGGCGGTATCTTCACACAACTAGCAACCATGGTTTCTCAGCAAGGGGAGATTGCTATCAGGTTCGTCTTCCTCACACCAAAATGTGTATACTGTCTTAAGATTTATTGGACATTTGTGGAAAGAAAGTAATATAATATGTTGTAAAAATTGGTTTGGACAGGATCGATCAGAACATGGAAGATACATTGACGCATGTGGAAGGTGCCCAGAGCCAACTGGCCAGGTATCTCAACAGTATATCGTCAAACCGATGGCTGATGATTAAGATTTTCTTTGTACTCATTGCGTTTCTCATGATTTTCCTCTTCTTCGTGGCGTAACATTGAGAAAACAAAAAAAAATTGATTGAAAAAGAGTTACAACATCTAGACATGGTTCTTTTGCGTCGTATCTTATTGACATGTAAAGACTAAAGAGAAAGGAGATCTTTATGCTCTGTTCAAATTAATAGAGATATATAAGCCACGTCCATGTAAAATTGCTTTGCGTTTCTTAAACATTTTTGTGATTCTGGTTCTCACTACTTCTATTACTCTAGCAGATTACTTGTTGCCTACCATTTACATTTTTTTTTGTTGTTGTTTATCTTTACGAAAGAAATCAGAATGTTTCTTATTCTATTTGTACTCTATGATTACTACTTTACAGTCAGAATCAGAAAGTTTTGATGTTGACAAAAGAAAAATATAGCTTAGTGGTTATGTTCACAATGTTTTGAATACTTTGAATCGACTAGATTCCTACAGATACAAGTAAAGAAGAAAAAAGGTTCCTACAAATGTGCTTGTGTACAAAAGTGCACAACAGGAAAGCGATCAATTAGTTCAAAGTCAATACAAGTAACATGTCACATTTTTCTTTTTATTGGCAGACACTTTAGTGGAGTCGTTGTCACTTTCTTAACCAAATGAAAATGAGAATCATACGTTTAGCTCTTCCGCTTCAGGACTTAATGGCTTAAAGAGAGCATCCACTTCACTTTCATCTACTTCGTCTAAGCTTGCTGGTTTCCATTTTGGATTCTGCAAGATAAACCACTCGTGAATGAGCTCAAAGTAGGCAAAACAGAGATATAACAGAGAGGCCAAAATCCAAAAAACCAAAGTGAACCGCATGATTAGCATAAACTTGCATCATCGTTCGTGTACTCAAATCTGATTTGAGATGTTAAAAATAAAGTTAACTGATAAAGTGATATATCCAGATTTATACACATGCTTGCCTATGGTCATTTGGTATGGAATATTGCCCAAAAAGGCACTCATCAACTCAACTTCACGTTTTTAACCCAACTCGAGAAATTAGAAAGCATACAAAAATCATGTGAACATAATGAACTGAATGATTAAACAGCAGAAAGATGAAGCTGCTGCATGAGAGAGATGATGAAGAATATATATAACGGAAAGTCTTGAGAGGTAATGAACAAAAAACCTGGTCCTTGTCGATCAGAACTGCTCTAACACCTTCAGCGAAATCACCACGCAAGGCAGATCTTAGAGCAATGCGATACTCAGTTTTCATCACACCATTAAGCTTCAAGATGGATAAATACGATAAAGTATTACTAGGAAAACTCGTAACATGATTCGAAACAAGTAGTTTGGACTCACTGTTGCCATCTCACTGTTGGCTTTACCCTTGGCACATGCAACTTTGGAGAAGTACTTATGTGTTAGGCACAGAGAGAACGGTGCCCCTTTTCCAAGGCTTTCGAGTGCTTCATTAGCCCATTCTGCAACTGTACACAAACATTTTGTCCGATATTCTCAGAGGCACGATGGTCACTTCAATTTGATTAATGTAAACAACAACTACGGAAACATATTTCTCCTTCAGAAATGTTTGGTAAGCGGCCACTACTAATGAGAAAGAGAAGTAAGATTATAGCAAAGAGTAGTCTTTCTAAGAAATCAAGATTGATACCACACAAGCACAAAGGGTTTGCTATTTCTATATAAAAAGCACTAAGAGAAGACGGAACCAAAATTTTCTCCATTCGAAATCTTAAAAGATCAATGCATATTCTTTGGAGTTGTTCCATTCTCTTCTAAATTTTGTCTGTTAATCTTCCACTTGTCTAGTTCTTCAAAAACGTAGCATCTGATCGTAAGAACCTTTTTTGTTGAATTAATTTTACATTACAAAAAGAAGAGAAAGTAGTGCATATCATACCTGAAGCATCAGTGCTCTGCTGGTACTTCTTTAGCTCTTCGATTGTTTCCCTAACAGACTTACTTGCGCAAAAAGCTGATTCTATTTGAGGCAAAAGCATTTTGAGGTGGGCTTCAGATTCAGGATCGCAGCTGTAATTTGATAAAGTTGCTTGGATGTCTTGATGAGGATCCTTGGAACTTTATTACCACAAATGCAGGACACTTTAATGAATTGAACAGAAATAAGTAGAGACATTCCATTCTGACAGAAGGAAGGAAGTTTGGGAAGGCTTACAGGTCAGCTGACAAAAAGGCTTCTTTGAGTGAATCTAGCTTTCCAGATGGTACATAATGTGTCCCAAGGCCCACAAACAATGCATCTGAAGGTGTGGAAATTCTTCTCCCAGTCATACCAAGGTAAGCACCTACAGAATTTGAAGGTTGAAAAGTTGCGGTTGGAGAATAATACAGCGGTTGTTATGTAGATTGTAAAAGTTTTCCGCATTTTAAGACATACTTCCTTAACAGTAAACACAATGACCAGATCAACAACTTAACAGTAAGCACCTACAGAATTTCAAGAGGACGGTCCTCGCAATGCCAGATCAACAACTGACTCAAAGCAAAACTGGGGAGGTACTAATACTATACTACTAATCGACATTTTTCACAAGTTCTGTAACTTTTGAGAAAGAACTAAGTTGACATAGAGGCACAAAAGACCACCCTTGTCGACCCGTTTCCCTTATTATTTTAAATATCCAAATAGAAAGTTAAGGATACTAACAGGAGTCTAGGATATGATCTTACCAACAGATCCTCTGCCAGGGCTATGAGCTGCTATATATGAAAACCCAACATCTGGAAACAAGCCGATTGCATTTTCTGGCATTGCGAGGACCGTCCTCTTGAAATGAAAAACAAAACAATGACAGAGGTAAGAAATTCATGCTAAATATTATCTCAAACAAAAGTACAGAACAATGATTTATTATGTGTACCTCTGTTATCACCCGGTAGCGTCCATGTCCAGAAAGACCAATGCCAAATCCCATTGTTATGCCATCCATTAAAGAGATATATGGCTTTTGGTATCCAGCAATCTTGCATATCAAGGGATACTCAGCTGTAAATACCTATAAATGTTCAGAAGTTAGGACAATCATAAGCAAGAAGCATAAATTTTTGGAGGCGAATCATGTGAAAAAACACTTTGCGTAACACATGTTACAATAAAATGGTAAGAAACTGAAAGTGAGTTTCAAAGAAGGGTTGATTCAAGGAAAAATAAACACAAGCATTGAATACATCTGCAAAAGACTAGACTAAAGAGTTTCACGACATAGATTAAATTGATCAAACTAATAGGCTTATCTAATCCCACCGAAGTATAAATTTCTTAATACTTTTAAGTATATCTAGTAGAAAGACAGTATAATGCTCTAGGGAAAATTAGCTTGCTTTTGTAATATCAGGTAGTATAAGTACTAGTATTGGCTTTCTAAAGCACTGAAGTGTATACTGTTGCATGTCTAGTCTTTTTCTGTTTCATAAACCTCAAATCCTGACTTATGGAAAAACGAGCACAACCAGACCTCTATCATATCTGACAATTGATGTTTGGTAGCAATCTGCTTCACATCACCTCCTGCAGATAAACTAAGACCATTATTAACAAAATTGTATCCTGTTTGATTAGCCAAAGAAGACTACTCGCTTTCTTATTACTACATGTTTCAAGAAAGAGATTAAAGCATGGAATGATGTTGCCAATTAACACATGATTCATATTGAAACCTTTTGCGCAAGAGGAGTATTTTATTCCATTAAGGTACAACTCCTATAATATCCAGCCCTGCACCATTCATATGTGGTCACTCCAAAACCTTCCTAGACCAATAAAGAAACTAACCATTAACCAACACTGAATCTCTTAGCTTTATTATCAAGAACAAATATACTTTCCACAATTATATCAATACAATCTTGATAAAAACCAGAATCCACATATCACCACAGAAAAAAAAAACTTTCTTTTACCTGCACAAAAGGCCCGAGGTGTGCTTCCTTCAACGATTACACATTTCACTCTGGGATCAGATTCCCACTCATCAAGCCAGCTTTTGTACTTTAAATCCATTTCTGTAAAACATAAACTCCAAAAAGTTTCATGATTTGAGTTTGGTTGATTTCGTTAAAGAAACGATTTTTATGAAAAAAAAAAACGGACCTAGATTCATGGCGTTAAGAGCTTGAGGTCGGTCAAGAGTGATGAAAGCGACGCCATTTGGATAAACATTTCCTTTTACAAACTCTTCGCCGCCGCCGATTCCACTGGCCATGACAGAGAACTTCCGGCGATCCGACACCCAAATGGAGGTCGTTGATGGATGTCTGGAGAAGAAGAAGATGCGAGCAGAGGCCACGCCCAAAGTTTTGATCATCGCCGTGATTCCCAATTCTCAGATCAACGACTTTCGTCGGAGAGGAACAGTGACAGTGACTGTTCTCAAGCACCACTAACTCCATTTATAATAAATCTATAATATTAATAGGCCCAATAGTCATTAACTAAATCAAATCCAATCCCCTTCCTATATATGGTYTGTATAGTCTTAGGAAAAATTAAAATTAAAATTAAAAAATGATAGAAAATGCAATCTGCATAAATATTTTCATTTTATTCAAAATTGTTAATCTAAATTCGAAAATAAACAGTGTTAATTTTTGAACAAAACGTATAATACAGTTACTTTGTCTTTAAAAACGACATACAACTAAACATTGTTTAGAAAACGGTACACCATATTCATTAGTCGATTTTGAATTTAAGTTGTTGTTGTTTTCTCCACTGTTAGATATGATTAAACCTGGAAAACAATGTTAAAAAATAAAATTTTCACCACACTCAAGTGTTTCATTTAAATTGGTTTTTACCCTCAAATAACGAAAGAAAAGGAGTGTTGATCCATGAGTTCGACAATAAATTTATATACAGTAAGAGGATCGGAAATTCTCGTTTATTGATATTAACTCGGAAACAGYCTACKACATATGATATTGTACGTGCTAGAAAAGATTGTGTATTGAGCTCGGAAYCTTAGATCGGCTGACGAACCTTGTGTTCGGTTTTCTGAGTATCGSAATAAGGTATGAGATCGTCGCTTTCAAGGTCGGAACCTGTGACTGATGATAAGGGCACTTGAGGTCGGATCGCTGGTGTGATAAGTACGAACTCTGCYRAGRKTTTTTACGAGCTGTTCTTGTCCTTTCTGATCAATCGGGCTCGATCAGGAGATTCTTTCCCTTTTGGTGTTAGAGAATGATTGCTTTTCGCTCTCAAATTCCCTTGTGCTTGCCCAAAAGTGGAAAAAGTAATCCTTGAACTCATGGGATGGGGACCCCTATTTATACTAAAAATGGAGAGAATGAGGTAGTAGGGTTGCCTTGGGACCAGTGCTGATGTCATTAACTACAGGAGGCGGCTGGGCTCACTTTGGGCCTGAATCATCAGTTACTGGGGCGAGCTCGTCGGACTCCTTCCTTATGGGCCGAGCTCGTCGCGCTTCTCTCTTCTGGGCCGAGTTTGGTAATACAATCTGTTTGCTGGGCTTTTTTTCGGAAATGGGCTTTAAAGGTGACAATATTTGAAGCCCATGCCCAACAGTAGCCCCCCAGTCGGCGAGTAGATAGGCTTTGGGCTCGTCGATGCGGTTTCAAGGCCCACGAAACATTCGGCCCGC